TTGAACTATCTAAGGAACTTAGCCATTCCTTGATATTGAGACTTCAAGAAAAATGTTTAAGGAACTTATCCTTCTACTGATGTATGGATTTACTTATCACAAAACTAGTGCCAACATCATATTACAGTAGAGTTAGCCTAATCAGAATAATGAAACCTTTGCAAAACTTTGCCTGACTGAGATAAAAGCTTAGAAATCTCAGTTTTCTTTCTGAAAAGCCTTCTCACCACCTGAAGGACTTGATTAAGAGATAGGAATGCTATGTTTTGTATCCTTCACTTGTCTTTTGATATCATAACTGTCTTTCTTGAAAATTTGCTCAATTGGAGGATAACTTTTTTATTGTTTTTTTTTTTTAATTATCAATAACATCATTAGAACACATGAGTGTAATTAATAGAACTTGTTTATATTCCAAAAACTAACATGTTTTGTGTCACCCAATCACCTTTAATAAGAATTTGTATTACACAAAATTTAGGGACAAACTGAGGTAGGCAAAATTTCTTAGAAAACTAAGAAAGTAGAAACTTTAAAAAAACATAGACTATCAAAAAGAGAGAAAATAAATCTTTTTATTATAGAAAATCTCTATATCTCTTATTTCAAAAGTTAGAAAGACCTTCAAGTACTTCACAATCAGTTTTTCTTTTGTTGAAAACTTTCTTGCCATTAGTAACAAAGGTATTACTTGACTTTTCTTATTACCAGAAACAAGTTTTTGAGTGAAAAGGTTTGTAAACAAGAAAGAAAGTGTAGAAACGACTTTTAAAGTTATACTTCAAGTTGGTTTAATAAAAGTGTTAAGATTTTATTAGTAAAAAGTATAAAAACTTCTTGCAAACATCTTTTTTGTATGTGATTAAAGGATCAATGAAAAAATTTGTATTGAGAATTAAAATATAAATTAATTTAAATTAATATGAAAACTTAGATAACAAATGATTTATTCATATCAAAATAAATATTTTTAGAGCAATATTCATTTAATATAAATTAGATTATCATAAAATTAATATTTTTTTAAAAGCTGTAATACACAATCTTTATGACTATATAATATATGTAATACTTTTACTAGTCTTATAATAAGAGTGATATAATATATAAAGATTAAAGCATATTATATATCAAGAAATCTATTTATATTAAAAAAGAGAGAGTATATAGAAGTCTACTTTATGACAACTAAAGACTTATAGTATATAAAGCTTTAAAACAATATATATTTATTTATAATTATAATCTTAGCTAAAGTACTAAAGAACATTCTAAAAAAAAAAACAGCAAGTTATAAAGAAATAGATCAATAAAAAAATATTAGAGCTCTCTTATTTCAAAACAATATATATAAGATCTCACTCAAAATGATCAAATAAAACTAATATCAAAAGCAATATAAAGGTTAACTAATATATAATATTCAAAGAAGAGTCAAGACAGAATTTGATATAATATATATATATATAGTATTTAGAAAAAAAAAAGAAAAAATATAATTTTGAAAATTTAGAATGTTAGATATGAAAAGGTGATAAAATATAAACAAATATTGGGAATTAACAGAGATGATAAGATCAAAAGGTCAACACATCTATAGAGACAAAGAAACAGAGCCAAGGTATTAAAAAATTGGTTATATTAAGTATTATTAAAGGAAGAAGAAATAGAAGATATGATACTCAAACAGGTCCTGCAAGATGGGATAAAGTATGGGATGAAATGGTTGGATTTTAATTTCTGTCAGAATTCAAAAGAGTGATCTGCAGGCAATTATGTTAGAAGTTGGAAGGATATTTACTTGAACTTCTAACGGAGTGATAAATTACTTCTGAAGTTACACTTAGAAAGGTAAAACAACCAAGATGAGTGAGTTAGTTAAAGAATTAGCTTTAGTGCCTCATGTTATATATATAGTTTACAAATGTTTAATAAAGCATATGTAACTAGCCTGACAGAGAGCAAAACAAAAAAAAAAAGAAAAGAAAAAATATAATTCTCAAGGTAATAAATATATAGTATTTTTGAGATAACAGAAAAATTCAAATATTTTGTAATTGATAGCAATAGAGAACCAACAATTGTTATAATAAAAAAAAAAACTATGCAATAAATCAAAAGTTTCTTCTTAGAGAATGAAAGTGTTTAAAATTTATTTTATCAAATTCTTAATAATTTCAAATAGTTAAATAGTAAAATAAATCTAATTAAAAATATATATATAATTAAAATAGAATAAAAAGATGATGATAAAACAATTGCTTCTAAAAGTTGTACCAATTCAATTAAAGTATACCAGAAGAAAGTTAGACTCATAGAAGTAATTAAACTCATTCTAAAGAAGAGATAAAATGATAAAGATATTAATAAATACTTTTAATACTATATATAATATATTATTTAATTAATTCATTAGTATCAACAAAAATAATACTATTAATAAATTAGAAAAAAAATATATACTATATAATAAATATACTATAGAAACCTCAACTCTATATTAGTTAATATTATTTCAATTGATATATATAATATCAGAGACATTAATACTAATTTAAATCAACAAAGGTTATATAAAGTCATAAAAGAACTCAATATTAATATACTAGATATTAATAAAATCAAACTAACAAAAGAAACAGTAGATTTTGCTTTTAACTTATAATAAATATACAAATTCTTTCATAGTTATAATAATAAGAAATCTAGAGAATCTGGAATAGAACTTTTAATCAATAAAAATATTAAAAAAAAGTTATAATACATTGAAAGAATAGAAGACTATATTATAGGAACCAACTTTCTATTAACAAAATATAAGTTCTATATCTATTAAATCAATTTACTATTAGAAATAAGTAAAAATAGTTGACTATAACAACTACTTTAAAACAAGATTTTATATAAGTAAAGAAAGTACTTTATAATTATAATTATAGAAAACTTTAATATAGTTATTATTCTAATTATAGATCAATTACTTTCAACTAAAAAAATTTCAAAATATAGAAATATTAAAATAGATCTTTTGAATTTTTTAGAAAACTAGAATTATATAGATATCCAAACTTTTAAAAAGAAAAAAATAATACTTTTATATAAATAAACAAAATATCATATAGTATAATTGACTATATCTAATTATTATTAAAAACCAGTATAAACAATATATATGATTTCAAAAACATTTATATGAAAATATTATTAAGTAATAATTATACTTTATTATTAGTAAGAATAATAATAAACAACTTGCTTAAAAATTCTATTCAAGAGTAATATAAAATAAAAGAAAAAAAAATACTGATTTAACAAACTCTATAGTTAAACAATAGAAAAAATTCAAATTTTAAATAGAAAACAAGTTTTTAGAAATTTTTTATTCATTTTTTCAGCAAAGCACAAAAGATAATTTTTTAATATTTAAGGATATTTAGAATAAACTTGAGATAAAAATTATCAAAAGTATATATAAGTATCTAAAAAAATATATATATAGTTTATTTTCAATAAAAGAAAAAAGTCAATCAAAAATAGTAATTTCAAGAAAAAACTTTAACACCTATAGGGAAGTTAACAAAATTTACTCCTCTTGATGAATCTTCAAGTAAACTAGAATACAATAAATTAGAAGAAATAGAATTTAATTAATCTTTGAAAATTTAATTAATATATATAAAACTAGTTAGAAAAATTGTCTCTTGAATTGGTTATTTTCTAGTTAATTTAATGTATATTATGTATAACTATTTACTATATTTAATTATTTGACTATCAAGTAAAAATACTTACCTATAAAAGTAATAATAGATCTATTTAAATCAAGTTGCAATAGATTATTATTAATATACAATATATATATAGTATATAGAAATATATAATATATGTAAAATTATTGGCATACTGTATGTTAAATGATAAAACTATCAATTTGTTAGAAAATTTCTTAATAAATTATATATACAGTATATTTAAATATTAAAGAAGTAAAACATACATAATAATTATATATTATTATATAATAATATTTTTAATTAAAATTATTATTAAACTATTAAATTTTAAGTTAATACCATTTTAAAATAATTCATATTCTTATTAAATTATTATATAAATCTTTTATATTATATTCTACATTACTTTTGCTTATTAATAATTTATTTAACATAAAATATATTTATATCCATGAATGATTTTGTAAATTGACTATTTTATATTGAATTCATAATTTCAAAATCTTTTGTTTTCGTCAAATATACATACTTTAACAAAATTCATTAAAGCTAATTGTTTATCTACTTGTTCGATTTCCAATAACCATAAAGTATATTTAATAAAATAAAAAAAAAAATTTTTTTTTTCTACTTTAACGAATATATAAAACTTTCAATATATACTGTACTGTATATACAGTATATATTTTTAAGGGAGACGCGTTCAGAAAATTTATTTACCCTTGATAAAAAAAGAAAACAAAACTTTAACAAAAATAAATTATTTGTATGCACTGATTTAAATAAACTAACCAATATTATTAAAAAATTTTCACAAAGTATAAAAACAAAACGAAATTAGGTGATCCTGTCAAAAAAAGGCCGACCAAACAATCAAATTTAAAATTCGCCTTTCCCTTATTAAAAAAAATATCGCATACTCAGTTAACTTCAATTGTTTAACTACAAATCCGGTTTGTAATTTTTAATGAATCAAAAAAAAAAAAATAATAATAATAATAAATTAAAGTGTACAGTATATACACACGATATGGACATATATTTCCAGATATACTCTATATACATAATATCCTGTCCGCTTATAAACAATGAGAATATAAATGCTATAACCAACGTCTATTTACATGTAAAAAAAAGTTCTTGGAGGAATGTATATTTACAACCATTAACACCTCGCAGAGTAGCAATGGTAAAAAAGTCTTTAGATCTATGAAATCCAACCATTTCCATATTTTACACCATAAACAAAATAGAAATCGTCCTATCCTACTCCCATTGGCGACCATTTGTTATGAGGTCTTCCAATTCGTCGAAATTAGCTTTCAAGTCTTCCAGTCTCTCAACCATAGAACTTCGCCAAGAATCCAGGTATTGAAACTTTTTGTGAACATCATCAACCTCTTCCTCCATTCTTTTTGGCGATTTTAGTTTTCGTGTACATCCAACCCTTGATTTTGATTGAAATTTCAAAACTTCTAATGCCTGTTTAATGCTTTCTTCAGTTTCTTGGTCTACTCTATGCTTTTTCTCCAAAAGTTTTAGAATTTCAAAATCTCTCGCAATCCTCTGCCGCGACGAAAATTCAACGTCAGCTTCCAGAGATGAGAAAGTTATGACTTCTTTAGTAGCATTGGGTATATCGAAAACTGTTTCAGCCACGACATTATCATTTCTTTCATTTTCGTCGGTGCGGAATCCAAATTTTCCACTAGTATTAATTCCCGCCATATCTTCTTTGATCGTCTTGACTGAAAACTCTAAATTTGCGTCTAATTCCACCTGTCTCTCAAGATGAGAAACGAGTTGCGCATCATATTCTTTTCGAACTTGGTTGACTTCCCGAAAAGAATTCTGTAACGACGATGGGGATTCCGGGAGCTCCGTGTCTTCTCTAAATGCAGTATCTAGAAAAAAAGGGAAGAAAAAGAAAGTTGAAAAAACGAATTTGAGATTGGTCAAGGTTGGACATTTAAAAAAAAAAAAAAAATTACCAACATTCATTATTTTGCATTAATCTATTTTTATGAATAGCGTCACTAATTCTTGTCTGCACATCTTTTATGGCAGCAACATTAAGAGTAGTCTGCGTAAATACATTTTTTTTCTCGCCGCTACTTTTGTCTAAATACGCTGACGGGTCAACTTCAAATTGTTTGCTGTTTATATTAGTTTGATCTCGGCCACGACTTCGATGTATCCCTGCTTTACTATTTCGAAATAACCTTCGAGTATCTTGAAAGTTATTCCTATAAGACTTGGGTGACTTTTCACCAATGTTCTTCGCACTTGTATCTACTTGAAAACTTTGTTTCTTAACGTCACTACTTGTGAACTTACTTTCTTTGTTTACCATCGTTGGAATCGCATCATTACGATTGACAGAATACTCCTGATCGATCAAAATGATGTCTGAACTTTGAAAGTCGGTTTTATTGTTACTGCTCCCGCACCTTCCTATCATGGAGCATTTACTTCTTCCGCGAGATTTTGTAGTCAAAAACCTTAAGCCCTTGCTGTCATGTGATCGATTGGATCCATCAAAATCTCCAATTTTCACATTCCTGACATCTTTTGTGGCGGTTCTGGAGCATTTTTTCTTCAATATTCCAGCCGCCTGGGATACTTTCGCCCGGAATACAAGGAAAAAATCCTTTTTGGTTGCAGATTCCTGCGAATTATTCGGTTTACCGGACTTTTCAGGGTCTTCCGGTGAATCATATTCTGTTGGCTGAATGTAAAACCACATTGATACCAATGCTATAAGAGTCATTCCGCCCATATATGCTACGGGTCTAGATAGTAAATTTGAAAATGGTATTCCGTTTTTCGTTAAGATAGACATAAGATTATTGCAAAGGATAGTTTAAACGGAACGTAGTTTACCGATATTTTTGTATGTTCGTGTGGTTGGGGGATGATAACCACGTACAGATCAAAGATGCAGTTGTCTCACACCGAGAATTTTTATAAAAATACCTATTATCAATCAAAAATTATCCAAGTAAAAATCGGGATCTCTAATGGAAAATCATTGAAACTTCAAAGCTATTTCTTTATGTGAATATAAACATATTATTCTAAATTCTTGGAGTTGGGTCATAACGATGCTTACTTTTGCTTTTCCATTATTACATAGTACTTATTTATTTTTAAGATAGCAATTCAGATACAAGAAACTAAACGCGAAAGTCGTAAGACAATTTTTTTTTTAAAAAAAATATGTTAGTGATAAATTAATTTCCTGTGTCACGCGACACATGTCCCCGAGCAAGATAGTAACAAGAAAACTGAACATGCAAGAATTGACCAATTATTGGATTTCTTTACACTTTTTTTTTTCTTACGTTCAAGCTTCCTTACCAATTAATCAGATCGACGCCGCTTACCGGGCTGGTGGTTTTAGGCGCAGTAAAAGTTAATCGCACCGTACTAACAGATGGGCATGATATTAAAATAAATCTTTTGGGTTTTTATAAAACAAGGAAATTCGAGAATGTGGCGTCAGGATAAATAGAAGAGAAGGGTCAAATATACACGATACACAAATTTTGAGTTTATAAAAAATAGTATCACAAGCTTTAATTGCAAAAAATAAGGAATGTCAATGATTCGAGTGAAGACAGGAGAAGCACTATTATCTTAAAAGGATTTATATTTGCGCAAATGGCGAATATTTGATGATGAAATAAACGGAGCAGTCTAAGGGATGAAATAAATAGCATTTTGAAAGAAAAAAAAAAGAAAGGTGATTCTACTTCTCTTTATTATTTAATTACATATCGGTCACATGAAGATTACTGTGCGACAGCTGAAAAAAAACCTGATATGCTCCAGCAACAAAGAAGATAGGAAGATAAGAGAATAATAAGTCCGAACTTGGCGTAAGCTTTTTTTTTTTTTTTTTTCAATCAATGAAGATCATTTTAAAAGTCTAAAAAAAAAATTTTTTTCTTTATAATATAGTTGCGGGTTTATTGATGCACGATCGACGTGCACATGTACGTAAAAAAATTTTTTTTTTTTTTTTTTTCCAATAAAAAAAGGAAAAATTAGAGAATACATACATTGTGTCATAAGGTTTAGTGATCTAGATGATGACATTCTTCCTCCTTTTCCTTAACGTCATCAAAGTTTGTAGAAGATCAAATTTCCAAATATACTATTCGCATAGATGCTGGGCATTGATTTGCGTTGTTCTTACATATCCCGACGCCCTTGGACGTTTTGAGTTTGTAATTTTAGGGTTTTATTTGAAAGATTTGTATTGTGCATACATCCTGCATTTCTTGATTCCTCCGAATTCGATGATCCCATTCTTTTCATGATGACGTTTGTCAAGAAATTTCGAGGTCGGGTTAATATTGCACACATACATGTTACCTTTACATAAGGCATCAGATAATGTTAGTAATTGCGGAAACAATGAAACATAATTTCGGCGTGAAAAATTTGTCGAGTTCCCAAATCAAAAGTGCTGAAAAAGGGTTTAATCATCTTACTGCACCACATTGTCAATAATGCTATTGTCTCTTGAAGTTGCACATAAAAAAGTTTTTTTTTTTTTTTTTTTTTTTTTTTTTTTTTTTTTTTTTTTTTTTTTTTTTTTTTTTTTTTTTTTTTTTT